CCCCAACAAAAAGACAACTACCCACATTTACTTTCGCATCAGCTTTGCTATGCAGGCCTCGCGTCGGAGGTTCGAGGGAGCGCCGCTTGAGAGGTTGCAGTCGTATTAAAGACCTATCTAAAGGAATGTGCGAAGGACCCCAGCCTCGCTTTCCCCCCAAGGCGTGCTTTGGTCGAATGCTTCGTGCATAGCTGCACTTGCCAAGGTAAGCAAGGAAGCATTCTCGCACTACGTTCCCCGATGATGTCTTTGTGAGCCTTTCAGAATGCCTATGCTTTGGTAGGTAAATACGGTGCACCGTGCACCTGGCACAGAAGTTGTCAGTATGTGCTCAACGTCCTGCAGTTTTCAAGGCTGTTGTTGTAAAGCTTTCTGCTGTCTGCCGTCGACACCTTTTCAATGTGTCGAGCCGGTGGGGGGCTGTGCTTGTTTGCGGCTGGCTCCGTCAGTGCAGCTACCTCCTGAAAAGGTTCCTGCACAGCAGCTTGTGGGGTGTCAACTGCAACTGAATCTGAAAGCAGTACTGCGCGCATGGCGCGGCATGCCTCCAAAAGTCACAGGACTGTTGATGTGGCGTTTGTTGGGGCTGAGCCGGGTTGGAGTTGGAGCAGCAAGGATTCATAAGAGCTTCGATGTAGATCTCAGTGACGGGTACCAGCTGTTCTTCAAGGACGAGCCCCTTTCTCGCACAAGTACCCCATGCAGCATTGCTCTCAGATTGCTATCTCCGAGGTCTCCTGGTGATCCCTGACGCTTACTCATAAAACCCTATCACAACGAGCAACAAGGGGAAAGCAATGGCACATGATGAGCGGCTACGCAGAGATATGACGGTAAACATACTCCAGTATGTCATGTTCTTTGTGCAGGTTATAGCGCCCTGGTATCGACTGGCATTGTTTAGAACTGGTTTATCTTTGGTGACTTTAGTGATTACAGCACTGCGGCCTACTACATAAGATCCACATCGCGATGTCCTATCTTTTGTTTGGGCAACTGTGGTTGTATTACACAGCAGCAGGTTGATGTCACAGCAGCCTAGCAGCGGCAACGCCATTGGCAGCATTTGCCTTAACATGCTGAGCCGTGAATCTCGAGCCCTGCAGCACAAAGCGGAAAGCCCTGACAGGTGATCCGGGCATGTTGACCGGTCCTCAAGATTTGATCTATGATCCAGTGTGGCCCTCGTTTGTGGCAATGTATGCGAAGCTGTTGCCCTGAAGTAGACGCTCACATAAACACGCATTTGGATAGAGAGACAGTGTGTGTATATATATATATATACATATATATATATATATATAATAGACATGATTGCCTGCTTTCCGGCTCATATTCTGATTTTTTTCTCTTGCACGAGCGTATAGTGACTTAGTGGTTCCTGGGAGCTCAGGTTCATGCTAGATGGCGAGACCGTCGTTGAATATTCAGCAGTGGCTGAAACAAACATATCAGCAGGGCTCAATGCCACAAGTTCTCTCAAACCAGCGATCCACATGACCAAAATGGACACCACATTCGCTCAATCTGTTGGGAGTGTTGGATCGATTCGAAGCACGACATCGCACCGTCTTGCATGGTTGAGCGGGATGTTCGCAGCCTGGGGGCTGAGCTTTACATCTTTCAGTCCCTTAACCCTGAACCTAAAATCCTAAGCCCCGTTCAAACGCTAAAACCCAAGGCCCTGAAACCATAAACCCTAACCCTAAAGCCCTAAACCCGAACAGAAAGGACTGTTGTGGCGTGGATAGATAAAGCAGAATTTACAGGTTCGAGAGTAGTAATACTAGCCACAACAACCAGAAACTCATTTCGAGACCCTGAGGTCAAAGGCTTTCCTGCCAGCTGCGGAGTTGACTCTGCGAAGGCCTGGGGCCAGCTTTTCACGCCCTTCGGTCACTCAGTTTTCAATAGGGTTTAGGGTTTTGGGTTTAGGATTACAATGAAGGGTTTTCAAGGATGTTTAGGGTTTTGGGTTTAGGGTCACATCTAAGGGTTTAGGGTTCAAGTTTTATGGAAGAAAGGGTAAAGTAATTTCTACAGGTGGGAAACCGGTGAAGTCTGATGTTTGTACTGGGGCATGGCCCTGTAGCCTAGGACTTAGTGCAGGGTCTGAGCATCAAGAGAGGTCAATTCTGTGTCTTGGAGACCTTCGAAAATCCAGAGGACACAGCGCATAACTCTGGTTCCAGAACCCCCCCTCGAGCCGGAACTCTCTCGCAGCAAGCCCTTTCCAGCCAGGCTTGCAACCTGCTGTAGCTATGGTTGAGGCAGAGAATGCACAAGACCATACAGTGGCGGATCTAATCTGTCCTGTGTAAGCCCATGAACCATCGCAAAGTTACCTCAAAGTTCTACGCCGTTCGCACATCTGAACGTCCAGGCCTTTGATGAGATGGTTCAGGGCACCGGAAGATTCGGCCACACTGCGCCAGAACCTCGGTATGGGATCTCGCCATGAGGCTACCCGTTCTTGTCCAGTAGAGACATTGGCCCGAGGGGCCGGTACTCTGTATGCAATAAGTATATGTAGATGGTGAGATAGAGATGCAGGGTTTTTGTTGCAGATACAGATACAGACACAGTGCAGGCATGGCTTCAGATCGTCGTAGTTTCACGTATAGATCATTTGCTTAGTGTATTTCTTGCTGCCTAATGTGGTTCTGTTGCTACATGCGTGAGCTGTATTTTAGTTGACAATCTCTGACTTACAGTTACAGGTTTCGTTAATGTATGCCGTTATGGTGCCTTGCACTATGACGATGTACCATAACAGGTGCTCCTTTTGATAGTGATTCAAATCACGACATGTCTTACGGTATTTTGTTACATTCTGACGGCTTTGGATTATGTCAGGTCTTATTAATTGCAATGTGTTGCATTCTGACGGGTTGCAATGATTGTGCCTTTCGGATTGTTTGAATTTGGTTAGAGCTTGCTTTCTTGATTCTTCTAGGCTTGTTCAGTAAACTCTGTTGTGCTACCCTACAACACACTATATCAAAGTGTGTTATTACTTTATATGTTGACTCTGCCCTTTCATGCGAGAAAAATATTGTTGAAACGCCATCGTATTATGTGGATATATATGTTGTAGGGCGATGTTTCTTGAGTAAATGATATCACACTACCGGTCGTATGCAGACAACATATGTAATGTAATGTAATGTAATGTATAATGTAATGTAATGTAATGTAATGTAATGTAATGTATGCATGCCTGTATGTATGCATGTATGTATGCATGTATATGGGCATACATACATATCCATATGTATGTTAGGTTATGTTAGTTAGTTGGTTAGCTAGTTAGTTAGTTAGCTAGCTAGCTAGCTAGCTAGCTAGCTGCTAGCTAGCTAGTGTGTGAGTGTGTGTGTGTGGGAGTGTGTATGTAAAAATGTATATGTGTATGTATGTAGGTATATATATATATGCATCATATGTATGCATGCTCAACATATGTAGTTAGCACTCCTGGGACCAAAGTATATACGAAGTCGGCACCCGTGGGTTTGTTTGCACATGTTAGTGCTATGATGGGAAGCCTAAACAACACTTATGGGCGACTAAGGCCGAAGTTCTATTTGGTAAACCCTGTGTTGCCGAAAGCTCTCGGATCGTTGAGAAAGGGCTGCTGGGAAAACACCATGCCAGCAACAGCAATGGAACCTGCACATGCATCCCGCAAAAGCACACACACGCACACACGCACAGAAACACAAATGCAGATGAGCCGCGCCAAGGTGCAAAGACCTTGCCCGACAACGCCAAAATAGTTGGCAAATATAAATATAAATATATATATATATGTATGTATATCTAGATAGGTAATATGTATGTGTGCATGCATGTATGTAACTACGTATGTATGTACGTATGAGTGTACACCTATATATACACAAAAGCACGCCATCACCACCGCAGCAACAACAATCCTAACTTTGATGATTGTCGTAGCCGACACCACAGTTCAGACCTTGGAGGCCGGGCCTCTACGTGGTGAACAACGATTTCGCTGCGGCAGAGCGGTCTCGGGGCCATGAGTTCACACAGTAGGGTTTAGGGCAAGTTTAGGGTTTATAAGTGAATAGCACTATCTAGCAGTATGCCACGTATCTGTTCATGAATATAGAACGACGACGACGGCGAGTGGCATGGTGTCTCGCAAGCAGCGGGATTGATAGTAAGACACACCATGGATTGTCACTCGTCGTCGCTGTCTGCTATTGCTTGCACTGTTAGGCTTTGTGTAACCGTGAGCAAGCAGCAGATCGGTTCCGGGCCATGCAGTTTTACGCAATGCAGCAAATCGTAGCTACAACCGCGAGATGCAAAAGATATCCGAGGGTATAATGCACTATGTAATGCTATGTTGGGAGTTGTGTTATATGGACACTGTGACTTGTCTGCGATAGTTCTAACAATTCTAAATCTACTACTTCAGAGCATGAGATCTCGAAGGAACTTCATATTCCTCTGTGCAAGACCTAAAAGTGCCCAAACTTTGTAACGCTATGCGATTCGGCATCACCGACCTACGGAGTTAGTCATAGCTGATCATGAATAAGATGTAAGTCAGTTCACACAAGCAGCTGTCGCCAAGGACAGGAGGTGCATGGTTGCCACGCAAATTCTAGATTCACTTTCGCATTGTCGTTGTTGCTACTGCTGCGTGATTTGGGTTCAGTGGGCTTTCTGGTGCAAGCATTGCCAACAGTACTATTGCATCCTTACAGAGAACCATTTTCGTCCTATCGTTATACGCTATTGCTTCAGAGCCTTGCGCGCTGTAGGAGAAGGTATCCTTACTGTTGATTCGATGATTTCGCACAGTGCAGTGCGAGCACCTGTGTGTGAAATCCTGCGCCAACCGACAGAACCATGTGAAGATAAGATAAGGCACTACCAGTCACCATAAACGAACATACTGGAGTGTAGCTTAATCATTAGATACCAAGTACCGCCTTTGAAGCACAAGAAAGTGTTACTGTTGTGCCACAATGCACGATCTAGGATTGCATATAATGTCCCTTGGCTACAGACGAAGATTGTAATCCGGCAGTTGTGAGCCGAACCACACGCATGGTCGAAGCAAGGCCAGGAGAGACGCAGTCGAGAGCGACAGCAGCAGATTAGGCGTGTAAAGAATCGCGATTTCCGGCTCCTCTCAACTCTGCACAGCGTAAGGCCGTAATCAGCCTCTCTGTCAGAAGGTCCGCCCAAGCAAGCTTTCGAAGGCGCCAATAGCCCAAAAGCCTGTGAGAGGTTCTGAACCTCTCACTCTCAACTGCGCTCCCAAGCCCTAGGCCCAAGGCCCAAACCCTTGCACTGGCCTACACTCCTCCCGGAAGCCTTACAGAGCGCACGGACATGCGACTGTGACTCGAGGTCTGCCTGGCACGGACCCTGGGCTGAGCAGTCCTTGCTGGCTGCAGAGCGACTCTTGGCCAAGGCCTCCAAGCTGGACACCTTGAAAGGCTGAACTTCTACATGGAGAGAGGGTTTATAGGGTTTTGGCGATTCTGGGCTCCATGGCTTCGGGTGCTTGGAGTTGTTCTCTGCAGTCTGAAGCCCCGCAGCTTCTTGGTCAGGCTTTCCACCTTCAGCGTCCTGCTGGATCCTCAGATCCCGCAGAACCATCCCTGACATCATAGCGAAAGCCTTCTGCAGCGTGCCACACAGCCTGGACGAGACATGCATGCCAGGAGTGGCTGAATGAGACTTACTACAAGCGTCACATCGGCGGTTCACATGGAGGCCCTGCAATGACGTAGACATTTCCTCGTGAAGTTGCTGTCTGGTGATGCTGTACGAAGCTAGCTTGCCCATGTCTATCTCGTCCCGGGCATCTCAGCAACATCCGCTTGGAGTGGACACGTCAATGCAAGCCAAACGCGGCCAAATACAGAAAAAAACTGACATATTCCGCGCCTTTGGTTCCAAAGCTCACTGATGAGTCTCGGCTCTGCCAGGTTCGGGTGTCAGCTACTCGTATGTGTGGCGGCGAAAAGATGCCGGGAGGACAGACTGTTGCAATCTCCACCGGATTCAAGCGGGTTCTTGTTCTGGGCGCCTTCATGCTGCTGCACCAGATCTGTAGAACATTGTAGAACGATTGAGATGAAAGTCGGGAGGTTTGTCTACGAGGCGCAGCTTTTAGGTAGCTGTCGAAAGCTCATGCAACATCGAAGATGTGAGTTTCGTGTTGGCCTTCGGAAGATCACGCGAAATACGAAGAGGTCGCCGCAGTCTACCCTGCTAGCCAGCAGTCCTTGCCATCAGCGTGCAGCTCTGAAGCCGGAGTAGCTCCAAGAGAGAGCTAAAACTGTGCACGGATCAACGAAATAGCATGTCGCACAACATCCAATCGTGTAGAACCGAAGATGCCATCATATGCTGGAATTCTGCAGGATGTGACGCAGCGGCCGTGTGAGCTCGGGAGCGATGTGCCCCATTCGGCGCGTCTAAAAAGAGTCCGATCCCAACCGCCTGCCAAGAGCCCTCGCATGAATGGAGGATGAAAGTGAATCGCAGGGCCGATGATAAGCTGCCCTCATTCCAGATAACAGTCGTGTTTTCGGTGTATACCAGATGCAGGCAGCCCAGAGAGTGGCCGTGCCTGACATGCCAGCAACACCCGAGGCGTGGTGGATGTCTGCCCCAGCTGCCAGGGTCAGTATATCACCTAGATTATAGCATTGTATATTCTACCATATTCCATTATATCTTGTATTTCCAACCTTCTATTTTATGTTATAGCTCAGGATGTTGAAGCACCTGGGAGCCTGATGTAGGACTGACTCGTGAGGCACAGAATCGCAAGGTCTTCGTCTCATCTTTGGCCGATGAATGTGCCTGCAGGGCTTGCCTGCAGCTGTAGAAGATCGGCTATATCAGAGCATGATGAGCCGCGACCTCGGAGCTTGCCGATTTGCCCTGAGTGGAGCTGGTGAAGCTCAGGCTCTGTGGATCAGGCATACCACGACGTTCCACTCTTCCTCCACTGCCTTACGGAGCAGGCAGCTGCACTGACTGCCTATGCAGAAAGGCGCACTTAGCCTCTACCTGGACGTAGCATGATGTTGCCATTCAAGAGCTGGTACAAACCTCTTGACGTTTCGACTCCTGAGGAGTACAGTCGTTCACATTCCCGTCAGGCTTCAACTTGCATGTGCTGAGACCGGCTGTCTCGCAGGTTGAGAGAACGCTTGGTGGCGATGCTCAGCAAAAGGAGGCCTTGCTTCAGCCACGTGGAAGATCGGCGAGTGATTTGGAAGACGGATCTTGAACATTCGCAGTCCTAGCTTCACTAGCTGCTGCCAGGCTGCTAGATCTCAAACTGGTCGCTGCAGAAACAAACCGATGAATTTTCCCACATGCCTGAACCCGTCGGCGAAGCCATCTTTAGACAAGCTCCGCGACAGGATGAGATCGCGCTGTCGGGTCTCGAGGACAACGGAAAATCCAGAAGCATCGAAGTTTGGATGTTAAGGTAGGCGCAATCATCGTCGATTGTGATTATGATGCTTCTCCGTACTGTTCTCGTTTTGGTATTGTGCAGTAAGAACTTGTTCTCCCAGGTTGTGCCACATGGCTCCCGTGAGTTAAGCCTCCAAGACGACGTAGTTCTGCAAACCCTAATCTTCCGAACTAACCTGAGCCTATGAATCCACCAAACCAGACGCAGTAAAGTTTCAACCCTAAACCTTAAACCCTATAAACCCTAAACCCTAAACATTTGCAGGAGTACTTGTCGGCGGCGTTTGACGACGCCATTTGTCAGGGCTCCGCTCCGGGCAGGCCTCGAAGCAGTTTGGGGTTTAGGGTTTTAGGGTTTAGGGTTTAGTTCGGGTTTAGGGTTGGAGGGTTTAGGGTAACCCCAAGGTTGTGAGTTCCAGTTACCTCTGTGTAGAAACACTAACAAGGACAGTGCTGCTGTGCACCTGCAAGTCACAGGCCTGTGGCTCCTCCAGCGGAGACAGAGTCGGGCACTCACGCTTTAAGTCTGTCTGTGACAGATAAAGCTTGTGATGGTTTGATGGCTTGACGGCTGCTCCTTGGCACTGTGCTTGATGGTTAGAACTCCCTGTTTTTTAAGCATGTCTCGGCACCGCCGTTTGCACGGAGGTCGTGCCGAACACGTTTCATTTGAAAGCCTCTGCCTGCAGATCTCCGCTGGAAACCATCCCTGGAATTCCTGGCTCTGGGCCCCTGCTTCAGTTGCTCGGCAAGATGAGATAAGAAGGGCTTTCAGCTTGAGGCATGAAGGCTTTCGTGGGTATTCCGGACACCTGCTAGCTAGTAGTCGACAGAATTGTTTCGAGCCGGTAAAGTGGGACATTGAACGAAGCTTGCAAGGTGTTGAGGAAGTTTGCTGCAGTGAAGGCTGCTTCTGTCACCTTGTGAGTTTTCATGGATGCCGCATGGGCACAGGAGCAAAGATAGACCCTTGTTTTCAGTTGTCTCCCGCTCATAGTTCGGCCATGCTCAAAAATCATCCACGGCTGCACAGGGTGGGAAAGTGGGAACCCGCCGAGTGTCTGACTGCAGCGTCGACTCTCCGGTTCAGCTTGCGAGTTTAGGGTAGGATGTACTCAGGACTAGTGGCGATCGAAAGCCAGAGCCTGTTCAGGTTCTTGGACCGTGCTGCGTGTCGACATCGGCAGGGGCCCCGCTCTAGACGAGCCAAATTTGGAAGCAACAACCCTTTCTCATGTGGCCTCAGGCCCTGATGGCTTGACACTGCAGCTTCAGTTGCGGCATGTGACAACTTTGCGACATTGAGATGCCGGGATAGCACCGGTAGATGCAAAATATGCACTCCCCCCATTTCTTGAAGTCATCACTTCTCGCCCACCGCATCGAACCTTCAGCTGCACCGACCATGCTGAACAAAGAGTACTGAGTACCGAGTATGCACTATGTGTTTACTTACTTAGTCTGATTATCGATTAGTCTACCTATCTCTTTCTGCACTTCGTTACGAGGTTTCTCGTCGTTGCAGGATCCCTTAAGCCTGAACCTTCCAAACCACAAGCCGTAGACCACAAAACATTGAAATCCTGAACCAACCTTAAATCCTTAAACACTCTGACTCTGAATATCTCCGACCCCTAAACCCTAAACCCTACATGAAACTATCTCCGACCCCTAAATAAACCCAAGCCCCCCGAGCTGAGGCGCGGACCTGGAGCGCAGCTGGAGGGTCAGCCAGCTTTAGCCAGGGGCCCAGCACTGTCTCCGCTACCCAGAGAGCCCAGAGAACCCAATACCCCTTAATTCAGGAATATACCTTAAATCATATTATTAAGGCTCCTATCATTTGAGGTATATTCCTTAATTAAGGGGTATTGGGTTCTCTGGGCTACCACCACCTACTGCCGCTACTGCCATCGCCACCGTCACCGCTACTGCTATTCTTACTACCCCGCTGCGACGACGACTCTTGCGCTCCCACTACTACAATACCACCACCACCAGTACTACCACTACGACAACAACAACTGCTGCTGCTACTACTACTACTACTACTCCTGCTGCTACTGCTGCTACTAC